GAAACATTCAAGACCCCCAGTTTCTTGCGTCCGAGGCCTTGTGGAGCGACCAGGTTTAGGGCTTAGGGGTTTAAGGTCTGTAGTGGCCTTAATTATTAGAATAGGGTTTTCGGGCCCATTACACTACAATTATACTTATAAGGAACCCCCCAAAAGAGTATTGGTCATTATTTAGGCCCCTACATGAGGTGCTTTTTTGCGACAGGAGTCCGCGCAGAGAACACGATGCTTCTCATCACTGACACTCACAGGCAGTGCCTTCAGCAGGCAGAAAACCCTAACCCAAACACTGAACTGAAACCCTCAAGCCCCGACGGTTGGAAACTAGAATATGACCCGAAACAACCGAGATCTTGACACAGGCGAAGTCGTTGACTTCGAAGGAAGACAGGACTGAGATGCGCTGATCCCCTGCTCTCAGCCGCATTCCCGAAAAGGGAGAGCCCAGCTGGCCCAATACTCCGTGCAGGTTGACTGGTATTTAGAGTCTTCCTGGGAACCCCACAGAGAAAGCTTATGTAAGAAGGCAGAGGCAGCTCCACCGGACAGGCCCAGAGCCCAGAACCTCGATGAATAATTACCAATACTGTTGCTGAAGACTCCTTATTGTAATCATCTAGAAAATGCCCCTCAAACACCATTTTGATTGTTGATCCCCTACAGCATAGGGCTTTATCTGCTCTCACAGCACTCTCGACCCTGAGTTTTGGGGCCCATACCCAACCAAGCCCCTATCAGGCACTGCAGCCATCAGCCGGCCCTGAAGGCGAGGATGCTAGACAGGGGTTGCACCGGACTGCGAGTGTTTGGGTAGAGGCTAAATGCTTTGTTGCGAGTTTATCGGGCTTAGGACCTTAGGCCTTTGGCTCATGGGTGGCTTTGCGGAGTATATGAAGATGGAAGCTTGACCCGGGTGGAGCTCTTCCGCCAAGGACCGCACGAAGAGAGGTCTGCAAGGTGTTTTGCACTCCTTTGCTGTGCGCAGGCACAGGCCCCTCAACACCGGCGGTTCACCATCGAATTTGCCGGGAGTTCCTCGTTGGAAGAAGGGGTTCAAGCCTCAGCTTACGAATCCTAAGCCCTATACCCTACACTCTACACCCTAAACCCAAAGGCCCAAAGCCGAAACCCTAAAGCCCTAAATCCTACACCTATAGCCAAACCTTGTCAAGCACTTATCAACCTTGAATCCCAAACCTAAGGGCCAAACCTCTTCATCCAAATTTATGAGGAAAACCGCGGGCAAAGGACTTTGCAAGCAGCTGCGCATCGGAACCCACCTACCAGACACTCTGAGGGTATAGGCAGGGTTTGGGTTTAGCGGTTTAGCGCTTGGGGTTCAGAAATTGAATTTCCAAGAAGCACCGAGTCCCGGAGTGAGAGGAATTATTGGCGAAGAAAAAGTACGGTCTACAAGTACCCGGGAGCTGAAGAGAAAGGCCGAACCGCACATAGTAGGAGGCTTCTAAATTGATTTCAGTTGTAAGGACCCGGACATCAGCTACGAGTGTTTTAAGAAACTCTGAGAGGTCCTTGTTATTTCTTCTGCCTTCGGAGACTCAGTGGATACCTCCGAGATCAGGCAGCAAGAAGCCCAAACCACATCCCGGAACAGAGCCTTGCAGGCTCTGAGTCACAGCTACCTTGCTGAGAAGTGTCGGATCCTCAAGGCTCATAAGTTCATAAGTGTAGGGTCAAGGGTTACTGTTCCGGACTCTAGGGTTACGGTGTCGGGTCGAAGGGTTAGGCTATCGGCTTTGAGGAAAACTATGTACACCTGTCAGCACCCCTACAATCCATCCCAGAAGACAAGTCATGCTCTAGTTCTCTTGACAAACCCTATAGTTGGTCTTCAGAACTCCTGATTCACCATAAGCCCTTAAACCCTCAGTGAGTGGCGCAGGTAAGCCCGACCAGCAGACAGTTCCGCAAATTTGAAGGCGCGCTGCTCGACTAGTGTTTAGGGCCACAACAAGACCCTGATCATGCACTCTCCTACCTCCAGGAGGCCTACATGCGTTCACTGAACAACCAATGTATGCCCGACTTCACATGAAGATTTTGTTCCACCCTGGATCCTGTGCGAGGTTCCCGTATTCTCAAACCAGCTCTACAGCGCGGCTTCAGCGCATTTCTCCAACCGGCTTACTTAGACGACCCGAGGTTACAATTGTAAGCAATCATAACAAGATTACCTGAGTACTTGCAACCTGGCCAACTAACAGCAATCATCTATTCTCTGTTCTACCCCTAGTTACGGACTCACATGATCCTTTCATTAGAGTCTTGTGGCTACTGCTCAGTATCTGGAACGCCCCGGCTTGCTTCGGCTTGGCCCAAGCGCACGAGGTTTGGTGTTCCTTTTCGTACTCCAACTTGCAAACAAAAACCTTGTGCGCACCATCACCCCCGGAGCCCTCATAAGAGCATAGCGGGGTGTTCATGTGGCTCCATATTTTCTGAGGTGTTCCTGGATGTTAGTTAGTGGTGTTTCCAAACTGCGAAGACTGTAGTCCTAAATCCTTCAAGCCTGCACACCCTCGAAAACCTTGAATCCATGAAGCCCAAACCTCAAGCCCTGAATCCATAAATCCCTGAACCTGAAAGTCCGAAATCTGCGGCGTGCCCCCATTCAGCATTGCATTTAATTAGACCTGGAGCTCCGATCCCGGGTCTCAGGCGCTGCAATTTACCTCAGTGTTGGCGTCAGGCAAGACGCCCAAACACTGCAGAATGGGAGTTTCGGCGATGGGGCCTAAACACTAGAACTGGATTCGCGTTTATAAGGAGTTTAATTGAGGCTACCGCAGTAAGGAACCGCTATTTACAACAGATCCCTGACTATTGCGGTGGCTTGACAGTAGGCTCCTTAACAAGAGCCCAGGACCTAAGTGAAAAGTTCAAAGTTCTGCACACGGACTGTTGTAGGTGCTGAGGAGCATTTAAGGCTTGGGGCTCTGAGTGAATGCATAGGATGAAGTTTATGGGGCCGGGACGATGAGTCTGCGGTGGGGAGCTTTCGAGCTAAGACCCATAGACACCAAGATGTTTGCGAGGTGTTTTGGTCCCCAGACACTGCTGAAGAGAGCACATGGGGCTATTAGAGCCGCAGGGAAATCGTGAAGCCTCACTCACAGATCACTTGGGGCTTCCAGGACACCAGGATTCAACCCAAATCTCCACCCTCCCCTCCTCATGTAGGAATCTGATTAAGAAACCCTGGCCCTACAACCCTCCAAAAAAAGGTGTTCAGCTAACTAAAGAACTCTAACACAGACCCAGGGTTTCCTAGCCCATATCCCTACATGAGATCAAATCCCCTCCCGCTCCCATTCTCGGACCTTTCCTTAGAAGCCGCTTTTTGTCTGCAAGTCCGCCATAAACCCTCTGCGTCGAAAAACTCAGCCTTAAACCGGGTTTAGGGTTTATAGGGTTTAGGACATTGGGAAATCCTCCTGCCTCAACACTGATGCCCACGGCGCTCGTCTTTTATGTCTCAAGACACTCCTGGCTTCACCCTCCTCTGTTGTCAGGTCTGAATACTCTGAGACCCGGCAAAGCACCGTCTTGTAGGGTTTCGGGCGTTCCTTCTTACGACTGTGGTGATATACCGGAATTCAGCTGAGCATCTTCAAGAATGCCCTGGGTGTGAGTTCGTACACCGTATATAGCACAAAACAACACAAAACTGACAGTTCAACAAAAGAGCCACCACGCTCATAGTCAGCATGGGGCAACCTGCTCGCGACTAGAATAACAATCTTCAACAGATTCCAGAGCTGTCTTGATATGCAAGACTTCCGCATTTGATCCTGGAGACGTTGAATCGTGCTTTGGGGTAATCTCCCTATTTCTCGATTCATGCAAGCCTTACACCCTGAAGCCGGAGGTCCCTAAACCCTAAACCAATAGGGTGAACTCTGAACCGTACACCTAAAACCCGGGACACTGAAGCTTCAAGCAATCAAGCTGCGCATTCGTACTTGGGCTGGTCAGCCTTCAGTGCGGCTATGGCTGTAGCCTTGGCTCTGGCGTGCTTTTGTTGCATAAGAATTCAGGTTTAAGGGTTATGGGGTTTGTGTGTTTAAGGTTTAGGCTTCAGTGTTTTCAGCGTTTAGGGTTGATTATTCACCCTAAGGGTACATGTGCCCAAATAGAATGTAGTTTGGTTTGAAACTACCCATATGTAGGGATTAAACTTGAAGGCCGAAGTATGTACTGTGTCTATTATGTGGGTACATGGACCCTCAAGGTCGGCTTTTTGGTTGGGAAGGCTTTCGGCTATATCTAGGGTTCAGTGTAAGTAGCCTTTAGAGTTCAGGGTTTATGGTAATTCGGAACATTACATATGTAGGTCCGTTTTAGGGGTTTAGGGTTCAAACAGGGTCTTCAGGGTTTGGGGTCCAGGGGTGGAGAGTTCAAGATTTAGGGATCAGGTGCAGCACTGCGCGGCACAGCCAGGAAATACAGGTTACAGTCTTGTAGTTGACCTGCTTGCTTTCCACAACCCCAAAGCTCTGTGCAATCCCAACATCACGGTTCCCAAAAAGCCTAGCTTCCCCAGACCCTGAACCTTCGCGCCCGTAAGCCCGACAGCATACCTTCCACTGGATCTCTGTTACAGTTACAGGGCTCCGGCACAAGGGATCCAGAATTGTCCGAAGCTCAATGTAGAAGTACCAGCATAATCTCGTCTACAACCCTCCCTCCCAGGAATTGGACAGCGAAGGGCGTCAACTTGCGATTAAAGAGCCGTGACAGTTAGAGCAGGTCTTTGAAGAAGACAAGGACTATAAGGAGCTAGTAATAATCACTTAGGCCCCTATATTCAGTGCACCCAACATCCAGAAGACCCCCTGAGCCGAGTCGCAGCAAGTAGCCAGTGGAATACTTCGACATGTAGCCCAGACTACGAACCCATGGTTTAAAGTTTAAAGTTTAGGTTGTAGACGAGTTGCTTCAGACCGCAGACCTCAAAGCTCAAACTTGCAGCAAAGCGCCTCGGTATCCTTGGGCGGCGATGGGGCCGTGGATGTGTCTGAGTCGGTGGCGACGGATTTCTTCATCTGGCTCACCTGGTAGGTAGGTTTATGGCGGCGGCGAGTGTAAGTTGTAGGGGTTTAGGGCTTGGAGGCCTTTTGTTGAACTATTGAGGTTAGGCCTCGGGTTTAGGGGTTCGCTTAGGGACATGTTTGGAGGGGCGTTGGGTTTCGATCGGGTTGCAGGCTTGCACATCTTCGAGCTGCGCAGAGAAGACCGGGGCATGAGGCTTAGTTCAACTTCAACCCTCGATCGAAGCCGTGATGGAAGCGCTCTTGGCGTAAGCCTCAGGAGGTAAGGCTTGTGTGGGGTGTGAAGAAGAAGGCCTAAGCAAAATGGTGGCGCAAGGATCGTTTCAGCGGGCCGAGGAAACAGCCCCATACTGAAAATCCCAACATGTGATCCTAATGGTGGTAGTAACAACCCAGTCTTTGTTGCTATACCTAATGACCATGCTTGCAGCAACCACCATCATAATCATGGTCATAATCAAACCTCCGACATATACTATGAATGCTTCATACGACTAACGCGTCGAATACTTATGCTAACCATGATAATCATAACAATAACCCTAAAACCTACACTGACAAGCTCTTCAGGAAAACTTCATGCTAGCCCAGGAACATCGACCGTGAATTTGATCGCATCCGCCGCGGCTTTGGTTCGCAGATAATACCTCTGAAGACAGTGTAGGGTTTAGGCGTTTAGGGTTTAGGGGAAGTCTCGGGTTTAGGGAATCTAGGATAGGGGGCAGAGGTTGAAACTTAGAAAATGCAAAACTGTTGATGGCAAGATTATCGCAAACCTCCACCGTCCCCAGCTACGGCTCTGCGCCTTCTGGGCTTAAAACCTGAACTATGAAACCCTTAACCCCAAACATTAAACCCCTAAACCATAAACCCTAGAACCCCAACCCTCAACCATAAAACCCTCCTCATTAACGCTCAACGATTTAGGAGAGTCGGAAACCCAGAGTCAAAGCCAAATGCAAACCTGGTAAACCAAGGCCATGAACAACCTCTCTGAAAACTCTGTATCCTATCATATATTGTATAATAGACAGTAATATGCTAAACTGAACTTCAATATTCAATATACTATAGTAGGCCGTAGTCTAATCTACTAGACTTTGATATATGATAGACTAATGAAAGCACTCGATGCAAGATCCGACACTTCAAACCTCCACGTACCCGAACCCTAAATCATTCCAAACAACGGAAAGGTCAAATCGAAAACTCCCTCATCCCTCCATTCGAAGTGCAAACTTGACCACAGTTGAACGATACCGATTGCAAACATGCACACAACTCATATGGTAAAGGCGGCCAAGTGGCAGTCCTGTCTTTAACCCAAGGTGCCATCCGTGGAAGTGCATAGAGGACAGCTTTGCGGTGGTCACGTCCACCATGTGAATGTTCCTTATCTCATCTATGCAGGTTAATCGGGTGGCATTCGCGGTGCTGGCCGCGGATTTGGCTGCGGTGAGTGTTCAGGGATCTTAATTTCACGTCCCGAAACCCGTAAGTCCGGGGCTAGGTGTTGACGGTTCGGGAATGTGAATGCGAGGAGATTAGTTGAGGAGCCCACGACCCCCGATTAAGGCTCAGAGTCTAGGGTCTAGAGTGGACCTCTGATGTGGCCCCTAATTACATTGCCTACATCCTAAAGCATTGAAGCTCCTAACAGCCCTGACGTCGAGACCACCTTCTAAAACCTCCCTTCCGCCGTTACGCCATGAATCTGCCTTAAGCCACTGCACTAGCCCGAATGAAAGGTACCAAGTCACAAGGATTGGGACTGATCGATGTAGGCTCCACGGTCGGCTGCCATGTCGAGCCTCGAACATGAGATGTACAATTTACAGTCGATACATCTCTGCACCCCTGCGCCTTTTTGTGGGTTTTGGGGTCTAGGGTTTAAAGTCGCTCACGTCGGGCTTGTAGTTTAACACCCCCCCCTCCAAAAAAAAAAACAAAAATAAACATAAAAACGCCGATCCTAACTACACTAAAAAGCACACCCCCAAGCTGGCCTATGTCCTGAATAAGCCCCGGCCAAACCACATGACGGGGGGTCACCTAATTATGCCCGCGACTCCGCAACCCCAAACCGTTAAACCCTAAGCCCTAAACCCTCAACGCTAAACCCTAAACCTCGTCCTAAACCCTGAACCCTCATTCGTCGCGTACGTGGACACCCCAACCCGCGTCTAAACCCACAAGATGATGCTGTAATATCTTATAGTAAAACGATAATGTAAATACTATCTTGAAATATAATATATGGTATATACGATAATCTACTATGACATAATAAGGTCCATTTTCAATCAGAATAAGGCTTGCGTGGACTGATCCCCCAAACCCCAACACCGCCGCCCAACTTCGTGTACAAAGACCTCTGCTCAGGGAAGACTTTGGGCTCTTTGGGTGTAGGGCCCGAACTTTCTCTAAACTGTAACGGCACCTCGCCTCAAAAGGCGTCGACACGCTCACCTAATTTTCCGCGTTAGCCCTTTACACACACACCAACATCCGAAGGAAGACACCCTGTTGCATGTCAAGAAGCCTAGTAGGAACCATGAGTTGCTAAATAAGATACCTACACTTGGGATTTTTTTGGTTGGATATGAGGTTTCACCTCGGGCCCAAACTCGGACGAGACTGTTCATGCTGGGATGTGGACCTCGAGGCTTATGGAGGTTGCTTCTAGCACTCCAGTGGTTCATGCTACCAAACCTGAGAGAGTCTTTGGGTTTCTGGTTTTAGCGTTTAGGGTTTAAGGGCTTAGGGAGTTCAGGTTTGGGGTTTCCGGCTTAGGGTAGAGCTTTCCATGCAGGTCTGGGCGACACTCTCCGCTGCTTGATCTCCCACACGGTCTTGTACAGCTCCTCTCCGCGGGTGTATGGGGTCCAGGCATGGTGATTTTGGCCTTGCAAGTTATTCATCAGCTTCCCTGCCCAGCAAGCAGCACTCAACTCCGCACCCTAAAGCCCTAAAGGGAATCGGGAGAGGGATGGGGGTTAAGGCTTTAGGGTCACGCCGGCAACCATTGTCAGATGCCCAGGAGGGCAAACAACCTCGACGCCAGGAAATCGACCAGACGCCGGCCATTGGCTACGGATGTGGGGCTCAGTGTCTGTATTCTATTAAATACAATTGCTCTCCCAACAGTGACTTGATGTTGCGAGATACAGCAATTTTCGCAGTCCCTAGTCAGCCTAGGTTCGTTGCAAGGTCTCCTTGATGTCTGCCGGCAGTGGAAGTCTTTGCACACTCCCGTTCTGGGCAACGAGCTGTACCCGGAGGTCCTGTTTGCGATTGTTGAAGCGCTGACATGCAGACATACAAATATTCTGGACTAACCATTAGTCGTAGTATTGCATTGATTTCTTTCAGAATAGTCAATATTCTCGGCGCGGTTGGAAGCAGAAAACAAGCCCAGTAACAAATATCCCAACGACCTCTTCCTGGAGCCTGACCTCTAACATCCAACCTTGAGAATTTGGGCACTCCCATGTCGTGGCGTTGAGGTGCAGGTGCCTCGTCCCAAAGACCTCGCTCAATGAGATCCTTCAGCAAGTGTCGGTTCACCTGTGAGGACACTCAAACCCTGAACTATAGACCTTTAGAATTGTGCAGGGGCTCAGCATCGTTTCGCATATCGCTGCATAGCATGTGCGGGGCTTGGGATACCTTTTGGGCTGAGTGGCTGTGCATGCAGGGCGTCACGGCTCGGGGGCTCCAGGACCCAGCAAGGACTTCGAACCCCGTACATACATACATACATACATACATACATACCTACATACATACATACATACATACACACTTACACACATACACACATACACACATACACACATACATACATACATACAAACATACAAACATACATACAAACATACAAACAAACATACATACATACATGCATACATACATACATACATACATATATACATACATATACATACACACATATATATACATCCATCCATCCATCCATGCATGCATACATACGTACGTACGCACGTCACGGACCCTCCCTAAGCCAGGAGACCTCTACCCGGAAACCCCAACACGCAAATCTAAAAGCCTTAACTCTGAACTCGAAAACCATCCTCGAAAACCCTGAAAAGACCACAGATTGACTCTCGATCACCGAAAATTCATCCGATGCCTTCGCTAAAAACTTTAAATACCTTGAATGCCGATACTAGACCCTGAAGCTCAAACCACCCGGAATACCCCAAGCCGTACGAATCCCTAATTCGGCCACACCAACTACCCCCAAGCCCGAAACCCTGAACTCCAAAACTCCTTCGCCCTTGGCTCCACCTGGACGAACTCGCCCGAGAGAACGCGACGGACATAGAGATTCTGGGTGTAGGGCTCAAACGACTCCTCGGAAGGATCATGCCGAGGCCTCTGAGGGCTTGGAGGGTTGCATTTCGGAACCATCTTAGGTGTTAACGAAAGGCCCCGGAACGCGCTAAGTAATCAAAGTGTCCCTGCATCCACCGGCCTACCCCTTGTATAAAACCTAAACTATATGACTTATACTTTAGCTACCAGCCTTGAACCCAACCTTCACCGGAAACAGCCAACCTTCGAGGCAAGGAGCATTGTTCCCTAAGATCTGAGCCGTGGACGCCGTTGGCATGGGCGCCTTGGTTTCATGATGCGGACTGATAGCATCAGGGTTAGTTCAGATCTCATCTCAAAGCATAGAATGCAGTTCAGAATGCTTCTGCTCTAGGACACGGAGAAGAGTGGTACCTCGTTGTGTCGACGATCTTTCTGCTGTGTCGACGATCTTTCTGACGTTCGAGGGCACTTCTATTCAGGTTTAAGGTTAAGGCGTACTTCGCATGAGCCACCATGAACTCACCTCAGGAACCAAACCCGCACAACCTTCACAAAGCCTTCTTTGACAACATAGGTCCTCTGCGACCGAGAGCATCTTGAAACAAACACATTATATCAAGCATGCCAGCAAGCCTGCTACTAAGCCTAAAAGCTCTTTTACAGTAACTACGTCACGGCACCCAAAGTCCCGAACCCTTTCATGTTGGTTTGATGAACATCCATACGGTGCCATCTCTTTCTCTGCCGTGAGTCCCTAACCGGGTTTCAAGGCTCAAACTTGAGGCAGAAATCCTCAGCACGAAGCCACGGCACAACCAACAGGGAGTTCCGAAGCCCATGCTGTGCAATCTTTGCCTCTACCAGTGACGATGGCACTTTTCAGGTGGGCAGAGGGTGCTTGAAGAACCGGGGCCAAGGTTTGAAAGGCAAAGGCGGGTCTAGGGTTTGGGAAAGCTGTATTGGAGCTTGGGCTCAGAGCGTGCGGGGCTTGGGGATCTGGTTGAAAGGCAAAGGCTCCAGGCAACAGGCTACGCAAGAGGGTTTTGGGATGGCTGTGTTGGAGTTTGAGCTGAGACAGGCCTGCGGCTCTACACCTTCCCAACCTCTAAAAGAATTAACCTAAAATCCCATCTCCTAAATCACTATAAATCCTATGTAATTTTTCTCCTACCCTTCCGTAGCCCTAAACCCTAAACCCTTCCCTAAACCCGACACCATCCCAGGCCTTCAGCACATCCCAGTTCCAACGACCGCTGCGGGGTGTCTTTGACCAAAGATCGAACTGGAGACGTCCTGGCACAAGGTGGGCTCTACGGTTTGGACTCAGCAAAACCCGTCTGCAGCTTTCTTCGTAACAGCTGCTGGCACAGGAACCTCTCGCTGCCACAGCCATCAGACAGCGAATGAAAACCGGTTTACGGTCTAGAGGGTAAGTTTGGATCTTGATTCAGAAACCTTGGGTCTTTATTGAGTTGTTGATATGGATCCTAATATTTGGGGCCGTAGGACCATGGATTCTCAAACAGGTTCCTGCAAACGTGTATGTACTGAAGCTCCCCAGACGCTTTCGATTCTTTGCCTGCGCGTGCGTTGAGCTGCGGATCTGTGGTGTTGGGGGGTTGATCGTATATACGTTGCCCTTCGAGTAGTCCGTATTTGGATGCGTTGGGTCAAAGTATATAGTATATACTATATACTATTTTGGTATACGGACCCTTCGGGATTATTTTTTGAGGGGGAGGTTTGGGCTTGAGGTTTCTGGGTTGTGCAGATATATCCGGATCTATCTGCGACATCTAATTGCTACAATGCCTGGAAGCGCATTCCGGCTTATGGTGCTTTGGGGGTTCTGTGCACAGGATGCGCGCGGTAAAAAGCGTCCATAACCACGAAAAGCACAACAATGTCCGGTGAGGACCCTGTAATGCCGATGCACAACCCAAAACTGGAAAACCCTAAATCCTCAAAATCCCAGAACCAGCTGCACCTGATCTACCCGGCCCGTAGCCGTCCATGGCTGCGATACCGTTAATAATGTTGAAAGGGTAGTGTATTCTACTGATTGTACTAAAAGTACAATTATACGTAGACTCCTAATCCGTGTGTGCAGACGCCGATAATGAGTTCCTACATCACAAAACCGTGGATCCTAAAGACCCCACAGTCCCAATCCCTACGTCCTAAAACTGCAAAACGACTCCCAATAACCTCAGAAATACGAAACAACACCGCAACCCTTAACACCTAAACACCCGAAATCCTACAACCGTAGACCGAAAAAACAGTTTAAACCATCTGAACCCGAAATGTCCAAATTGTCCTAAAACCCTAAATTCGCAATGCCTTACTACTGTAAGGCCTTGAAGCCCGAAGCCTATAAATCCCCCAAACCCACAGTTACCTCAAATCCCACAAACCCTACACCCTAACAACGCAAAACCCTAGGCCCGAAACCCGAAACCCAAACCCTACACCCTAAACCCGAAACCCCAATCCGAAATCGGAATCCCGAAACCCGAAACCCTAAAGTTTATAGGGTGTGGACTTCTAAATTGTGAAGGGATGAGTTACCACCAATTCTTCACGCCTCCACAGTTAAATCCTAAACTCCCCCCAAACCCTAAAGCCTAAACCCTAAACTCCCTCCCCCTTCATCCGGCCTTCACTCGCCGGGCTTCCTGGGTAGGTCTCGTAAGGCCCGGAGAGCTCTGCCAACTCGCAGGAGGCCTTGGATTTAGGGGTTTAGGGTGTGGGGTTCAGGGTTAGGGTTTTAGGGTTTGGGGTTTAGGGTTTTAGGGTTTTAGATTTAAGCGATTATTGTTCAGAGTTTAGGGTTTCGGGTTAAGCGATTCGCAGAATTTATTCTGGTTTATAGTAGGGTTTTGGGGTAAGGGTTTTCGGGTTCAGGGTTAAGCGATTATTGATCAGAGTTTAGGGTATATATACAGGTTTTGGGGTTACGGTTAGGGTGTAGCGATTAAGGATAAGAGTTGGGGGTGTATAGGAGTGAAAAAGAGTTTCTTGGAGATCGGTTTGGGGTTTAGGGTCCGTTGTCTTGAGATTGAACTCGAGTTCAGGATGTAAGTAAGGAGTTTGGTGCAGGATTGAGGGAGTTGGGCCAGAGGTGTTAGCCCAGCCCCTTGTTTGAAATTCAGAAGTCTCTATAGCACTACCTCCTATTTTAAGCTACAAAATCCGAGTCTTGGCCTCGCAGGCAGCGAAGTAAATCGTCTCAAAGATGTCCTGCAAGCTCCACGGGTTTACAGGTGGGAGCCCGGAATCCCTGGGGCGCGTTTCGGATTCGAGGTCGTAGTTTGGGGGTTTGGCCTGCGATTTACGCACGCTGTTGGGTATAAGATGTGTCCTTTGGGGCGCGTGGCTTGAAGTCTTTAATCTGTGGAGCGGATTTGGGCGTATGGCAGCCTCCACGTTTAAAAGGTTTGGGAAAGTTTTGGGAGACAAAGGAATTAACAAGCAATTCAACGGGATGTGGGGGTCCAACAATCGCCGGGCAAGTTGGCCTGGTGCTAAACGAAACGCACTCCGAAACCCGGAAGCCTCGGCAACTCAGTCCTCATTCAATCTTCTGGCCTCATCGCTTTCGAACGGCAGCTTCCTTCAAGGAAAACCTAAACCCTAAAACCTTAATTTGTGAGGGTTTTCGGCTGTCTGAGGCTCTATGTCTCGGAGGCAAAGCTTTGCAGGCTTTTAGGCTCCAAGCCTCAGAAACCTTGTGCCAAAACCTGGTGCGACCTTCTCTGTGCATACCGCCCGCTGAACAACGGGTGGTGATGATGATGACGATGATGATGGGGGTGGCCATGGATGCCGACGATACTCGTGGCGATGATCTGGATGGGTAGGTGTTGGCACTGTAGTCTACAAGCAGGTGGGTTCCCAAAGGGTCCTAAGTGCCTATAGTCAAAAAGTAGGGTTGTGAAGGTAGGAAGCACCAGCATGATATGGCAAAGTATGCCCCCATAACGCTGCCTAGGACGTTTTTTGGGAGAGCTGCGAATGCACGCTTGGGGGCTTTAGGTCTAAGTGTGAGGCCAACGGCGCCGCGAATGAGGGGGACGGATACTATTTCGTGTACATACTCACATGTCTATGTGTGTACATGTACGCATGCTTATATGCAAATATGCTTGTTGTACATTCTTGTTTGTCTACTTGTGAACTGCCGTGTTCGGGTCTCTACTTATGATCATAGGTGAATGTCTGCATGCACATAAGCACTTGGCTGAACCATCGGCATCCCCATACATTACAGGTACATGCGAATTTCAGCACATGATTCATGAACACCACAACAATGTGGAGAGCTGGTGGTTTCAAACCACCGAAAACCTAAACGACTCCACACGGGCCGGGGGCACATCATGAGGAAGGCATCGGCAAGGCCCTGCACACCCAGGCCTTGGCTGGACCTAACTTCACCGGTCAAGATCTGAAAGTTTCGAGGATCGGACGTAGGCTGTCTTATAGTCCAATATTATATATCTGTATATATCTATATGTATATATATATATATATAAAATATTGTATTATTATATAGTATTATAGTATTATATGATGTAGTGTAATATATTATCATCTTATATCATATCTTGAGCCGAATCTTGGGGTACGGCTCCAGGAACCCTACATTCTGGAGCCTCGGCACTCGACTCGGAGAGCCCGACACTTCCAAGAACTGAGCACCTGAAAGCTTCAACTCTGCAGCCTCAGCCTGCAGCAAAAGAGGGTTTTTTAAAACCAGAAGAGGGTTTTCTAACAACCAGAAGAGGGTTTTAAAAACCAGAAGAGGGATTTTAAAGACCCCCTTCTCCGAATAAAGCCCCTGCTGATCGAATGAACCCGAAAACCTTGAACCTTCAGGAATACTTACAAGCAATAGATCCTAGCACACTTATAACAAAACGGCTATTCTGATGATTAAGGCCCTGCAGTCTCAAGGCCCTTCAAAGTTTCAACAGGGACAAGACCCGGAAAGTATCGCAAAGAAGGGGCCCACCGGCCGATGTCGGAAGTTGGACTTGCGAGCCTCCGGCACCGGGTAGTAGTTCCTGGCACGGTGTCGAGGGGTGGTACGAGGTACGGCTTAGAGCTTAGGTTGTGGGGTAGGGCTATAGGGCCTATGGGTTTAGGGTTGGGGTTGAGGGAGCTGGTAAGTTTGGCTTGGCTGCTGGTTGCCCTTGGGAAGCTTCTCAGGTTTTCATTTAGGCATGGTTGTTTCAGGGCTTCGTGTTTCGGGAACTACTGTGAAGCCAAAGTGCATCCGACGCCAGCAGGTATAAAGGCTTTCTGACTGGCCCTTGAAAGCCTCTGGAAAGCATTCGTAAGTACGGCGCTCTCAGACCAATATAGAAGTCAGACCATATCATATCATATCATATCATATCATATCATATCATATCATATCATTAGATATATACAACCCTAAACCATATCCATATATATATATATATAGTGCCCCCCCATGGCCTGCCTGGTTTTGCTATGTCTAAGGATGCCGAACCCAACATGGAGAGAAACAATATAGGGGCCGCCATAGTTAGAATAGGATTTTGGGGCCCATGATGCTATAATTGTATTAAGGATCCCCCAGAATAAGAAGGCTCACCGGGTTGAATATAGAGGGGCCTTCAGAACTGAAAAACCGAGGAGTTAGGATGGGGATTCTTGAAAAAACAGCTGCAACGGCACTTTCCGGATCTTCGGACTAGTATGTTTGCATCCCTATTTTAAGGTCCGAGAGTCAGGGTATGTTGTGTCGTAGCCTTCGGGCAGTTGGGGGGTTGTAGGTGTGCTCAGAGCTCGTTATGTTGTCCTGAATTTGGGTTTTGGGCATGGGCCGCTTGGGTCTGTGGGATTTTAGGCTTTGGATAGACTCTGTGTGTGGGTCAAGATACTGATGTCTTTGGGCTGTCTGGGGCTGTCTTGGATGTTAGTGTTGGGTTGCAAGTCTGATGGCTGGCACCTTAAACCCCAAAGAACCAAACCCAAGACCCTAAACATTGGGAGAAACCTCGACTCTTCTAAACAGCCTTCATCCCTCAAACCCTAAATCCTCAACGCCTAAAGCAAGGGCGCTTGGCTCCAGGGCCATGCGGGTCCTGTCGATGACCTTGTTGAGGTTCCGGGTCACAACTTTTGTCACCTTGAACGGTTTCGAGCTTTGAACTTGAAGAAGGGATCGGTGTTGAATTTGTTCATAGAGTACAAGGCTTAAGGTCTGGGCCTTGCAACTCGTCCCTCCTAGGCTTTCGGCTGGTTTCCGGTTTCGGGTTTGCAAACCCATAAGCCTCAACCCCCTAACCCCCTTCAACCCGAAATCCTAAACGTTTATAAACCCTAAACCCTTAAACCCGAAATCCCCTAACCCTAAAGCTTAATTATCGTTCGGTCTCGAGTTTTTCAGGTTCGAGCCGCTGGTTCTTCAATTTTGGGGTATGTGATAACGAGTCTACAATGGGATACTATTCCTAGTAGTTCCGACCTCTTTATTACGTTATTCGGGGGCGTTGCTGCCCAAGACCACAAAGCGCGAATTTCAGAATCAGACATAAGCCCTAGAGAAAAGATCCACACTGGAGTTACTCATGTTTCTGTAGTATATAGAAGCCCGAAAGTTGGAAACCCAATAGCCTCAATCCTTCAGAGGAATGCATACGGAATCCCAGCACTATTTGTCCATAATCCGGTTTCCAACTTTCTGGGGCTTACTATAGTAGAAGGGTCCCCGAAATCCGTGGTCCTTTGAACTATCAGCCAAAACCCTAACCTGCAACACTGCCTCGCCTCGTAAAGCTGCTGGAAGTCGTAGCCGGAACCTCGATTTTTGCCGGCTTTCGCGTTCAGGTGTTTAGGGGTTCCCCTAGATTATAGAATTTGAAGTCAGGATTTGGGGGTTTCGGCGTTTTGGGGGTTTAGGGTCTATAGGGTATAGGGGGACTCAGGGTTGACAGTTTAGGGTTCACGGACCAGGATTGACAGTGATTCGTACTATGCAGGTTTAAGGCATCAAGGACCCGCCCCCCCCCAAATAGATACCTCCAAAGCAGCAGAAGAGAGATTGAAAAGTATCTCAAGTTGCGACCCGGCATTTTGCGATCAGGAGCAGGAACTTGGCCTTTTTTGGCCCCGCGCTGTCGGAGTCTCCACATCTAGATGACTGGTGCAAAGTCGCAGGGCCTTAATTAGTAGCAAAACTAGGCTTTTGGTGCATAGGTTACTCTGTGTATAGTGAGGCATGCTAAGGAAAAGCACTGGTAATGATTCTGGACCCTAACTTGGGTGCTTTAAAGAAAGCCCTGTCTCCGACCTTCCAGTCGAAAAACCGACACACTAAACCACAAAGCCGAACCTCTTGAAGTTTTGGATGGTGATTTAAGGATTGAAGGTTTAGGGTTTAGGGAAAGATCCTTCGACTTCGTCTGTCTTCTGCAGCTGGGTGAGGGATGCAGGGTGTCATGTCATGGATACTTGTCTGTGCCAATCAAGGTGGAGTCAAGGCCACTGGGTCTGCCTTGCGACCCCTAAGCCGCAACTCTGACGCCTCAAAAGTTTGCAGGTTCCAAGCCCCCACGTTTCGGATCCCAACCCCCCCACCCTGAACCTTAAAAGTTGGTCCATGCTCTATAACAGGGTCTTGCCATCAAGCCTAACTTGCGCCTTCAAGCCTAAACCCGAAACCTTAAATCCCAAGCCTTTTTTAAACTCAAACACTGCATCCTGAACTCTAAAATCATCCCCAAATCCTCAACTCCGAAATCCCCAACGCCCATCCGAACTCCCCTAAACCCTACCTAGACCCTACAGAACCTACCTCCTTAAGGACTTATATAAGGAAACCATAAAAATGGAACTCTAAACCCTGTTCGTTATTTAGGGTCCAAGTGAACCCTAAACCGCGCGCCTCCATCAGCCACAAAGGCTGGCAAAGAGATCGACGCCAAGTTGCAGACCGCGACCTGCTTTTAGGGGTTCAGGGTTTAGGGGTTTAGGATTTAGGGTTTAGGGTTTAGGGGTTTGGGGGTTTAGGGGTTTAGGGTTTAGGGGGGTTTAGGGTTTAGGAGGGTTTAGGGTTTACGAGGGTTTAGGGTTTAGGGGTTTAAGGGTTTAGGGTTTAGGGGTTTAGGGGCTTAGAGTTTAGGGGTTTAAGGGTTTAGGGTTTAGGGGGGTTTAGGGTTAAGGGGTTTAGGGTTTAGGAGGGTTTAGGGTTTAGGAGGGTTTAGGGTTGGGGGTTTTAGGTTTCAGGGTTTGGGTTTAGGGATTCAGGCGTTTAGGGTTTAGGGTCGGACCTGTGTCGCTCCATCCGGGGGAGAGCTTTGGAAGCTTGGGACGGGATAAGAAGGCACTTTGGTTCGGATAGTAGTTAGCGAGCGAGGTGAGTATTTGGGTCAGTATATGATTATTAGGTACTTGGACCCTTAGGGTAGGGGAACTTCAAGAGGGGCTTGAAGGAGAAGTTGAAGGGCTTGGGGTTTCGGACTTATACAGAGAAGTTGCTTGTTGCCTCGAGGACTTTAGGGTTTGGGGCTTCAGGCTTCAGGCTTGAGGGGTTTCAATTCACTGATTCTGGAATCGATGCTGTTGTTCATGCGGAAGCATTCGATCTTTGTCCAGCCCCTTCCGACCATCTTGGGCCGCTCGGTATCCATGCTCGTTGCGTGCTTCTTCTCTGTTGCTGCCTATTCGGTGCCTCTTGTGGCACAGGCTCTTGCAACCCCCTAAACCTGAAAAGCGCAGGAGTTTGCGGTCTGGCTCAAGGTTCAGAGTGATCTCTGAAGATCCGAACTAGTCATTGCTGCGGTGGGGTCTGCTTGGAAGATCGGGGCCCTGCCTACAAAGGCTTGTTGATGGTAAAAAGTACAGTAAGGCTTCAAAGTACAGCCAACCTAGGGTGTCCAAAGCACTGCTTTCCGACTGCTGCTTCAACTGGTTCCACACTGAATGCTTGGCCTGGGCAATTGTACAAAAAGCGGGATTGTTTAAACTTGTCTTTAAAGATGCAGTGACGCTTGAATGGAGATCAACCTCTTTACGGAACTTATAAGGACTCAGGAGTTGGAGCAATCTGTGTTGCGATTTCCAAACCTGGGGTCTTCCCACAGAGCTGCACCCAGCAACACACCAAAGGGTCCTAAGCACCGATATAGTAGAACGTAGGGATACAGGTTGCTATAGTAGTGATCGCAGTTATGATAAAGTATCCCCCATACCGGTACCTAGGAGCCGGGCAGAATGGCTCAAAGGAGCGAGCTGCGAGCTCCCAAAGGAGAGCAGTTCATGACTGCACGGTTCTCACACTTTCGGCTTTAGGCTTTTGAGCATTAGAGCTCAACCCCGCGAGTCCGCCGTAAACTACACCGTAAACCACTGCGCCTCGTCTGCGGCGGTGTACCTGGATCTTTGAGGGGATGGGGAAATCATTGAGACCTGGGAGACGCTTGTAGGTTCCCCCATCCCAGAGCAGTAGCAGTGATAAGGCTACGGTATGTAAGTCTGGTCCCAAAGGCCTCCAAGTACCTATATAGTAGAACGTAGGGTTCTGTACTGGGAGCTGTGATCCTGATTGGGAAAGTATCCCTTTGGGTGAGGCTTCAGCTGTCAGTGCCGCTAGTTTTGGGTTCAGGGCTTTGAGTGTCATTATGGCGCAGTTCGGCCTCCACCGGCTTTCAAAACGAAACAGTTCACAGCCAAGTTGAGGATCCATCATGTCGGAAATTTCAAGGTATTCTTACTAAGAAGCACAACGAAACTCGCATAGCTTAGGGAATTATGAGGACAACCATCAGGTGTAGGCCTATCCCAGTCCGCAGCGATCAGCAAGAGAGTGACTCTTCACTCCTCTCCCAATACTGACCTCTTGAGCTCAGGGGCATCAATAAGATACCACAACACCAACTTCGAGTTCAAACTGGACCCCAAAGCAGCCGAAACTTGTGAGAAGTGCCATAGACGTTCAACCCAAATGGGACAAGAGCAAAGGCTTCTGTGCCTAACCCCCCACTTGTCTCCTTGCAGGACAGAGCTGCTCGATGATCTCAGTGCAGAGGTTTGAGCAATGGATGGTGCCAAGGTTCTGCTGGTTCCTCGGGTGTCAGCGAACGCTTCTCCTCATAAGATCAAAAGACTTAGGGCGCATACACACATGCTGGGATTAGGGTTGAGCAGGGAGTTCAGGGACAAGGGTTCGGGTACTCAGTTTCACTTTATGTCGGGCTGGGACTTGGAAGACAGAGGCTGTAACTGCGAATTCCAAAAAATGCTCTGTGCCCGTGACCTCAGGCTGGCCTCAGGCTGGGGTTGAAACTTCAAGGTGCTCCAAGATGTACCCTACCCAAAAAGATCCCAGACTCGACTTTCTGTTCGCCTGATCCTTGTAGAGCATGTATGGTGTGCCCGTCTCCATCTGCGATTCCAGGATGCGGAACCACCTGAGATTGAGGCACAACACGGTCACGAGATCTGTGACGTTCGATGTCTAGCTCGGTGGTCTGAATTGTGAGGTGTTTAGGGTTTAGGGTTTAGGATTTAGGGTTTAGGGTATGGGAAAGAGCAGAGTGGGGGCCTGGTCTGCGGCTCATCCGCAAGAGTTTCAGCTCAAGCCTGAAATCCCCAGGGATCCTTGAGGTTTAGGGTTTAGGGTTTAGGCCCTTTGGCCAAAATCCGAGACCCACAACTTACTAACGGCCTCGACCCAAACCTTGGGTTTGAGAAGAAGGGGCAAGCCCCATCAGTCTCCCACAGCACATTGTGTCTCAGCCTCGAAACCCTGAGCCAAAAACCCTGCAGCCCTAAGCCTTGAACTCTAGCTTGTATATATCTATATGTGCACACACACACACACACGGGTATACATATATATATATATATATATATATACATACAATTTCTATACTATAGAGTTGAAAGTATCGGGTAAACTGAACCGGCCTTAGCTACAACAAGCAGCGGTCCACAACAAGCCCCCGTTAAACACAAGCATACTTTATCAAAGCCCGATATTTTTTAGAATCCCAAGCCCTTTACCCTGCATTTCGAAAACCCTTGAACCCGAAAAAGGTTTCTCTTGGGAACGCCAACCCCAAGTCCCAAACCCTAGAACCCTAAACTCTATCCATTCAACCCCGATGCTAGGCCCTCAACCCTCTGAGCTCTACATCCCGCAGCCCCTGTAAACGAATCACCCTAAACTCCGTAAGCCCTACTAAAAGCTTTATACCGTAAACCCTCAAACTCTGTGTATACACTAAACCCGCTAAACTGCATTCTCCAAACCCTCCAAACTCTATATTATATCCCAACCCTGCAAACTCAATGCCCTGAACCTCAAAACACTATACCCCACACCCACGAACCCCTGTAAACTCCAAGCTCTATATACCCTAGGCCCTCTACCCTTTACGCCGAAACGCCCTACGCTCTAAAACCCACCCCCTAAACCTAAACCCCTAAGCCCGTAAATCCTAGAACGTGGCTGGGCCTGAGCTTTGCCACGGAGCGGCAAGTGCTGGGCCTTAAGTGTCTTTCGGCCCAATCCTTCGGCTTCGAAGCGGGTGTACATGGCCTCCGGGGTTCAGAAGGTGTGGGTAGGGTTTGGGGGGGTTGGGTTTAGGGTTTGCATAGCCTCCGGGCTCAGAAGGGGCGGGTTGTTGGAGGTTTACAGGGTTTAAAGTCACGGGGTGCAGGGTGTCAAAGTCACGGGGTGCAGGGTGGAATGTAGGGCTTTGGGGTTTCAGGGTCCAGGAGGGTGAAGCTTAGGGTTTAGAGGGCTTGGGGTTCAGGGCCTACCTTTTGTCTCCATTGTATCTAACCCAGTTATAGATTTCGGACCCTGTGAGGTAGCCAAGAAAAGAACTTACAAAGGAGACTATAGGCAGTGTGCACATGGCCTCGAACTCGTCTCCCCAGACCTCGGACTTTGCACGTTCAGGCTGCTGGGCTTCGCGCTTTTGTATGTTAGGGGCTTCTTGTGGCTTCAGGTTTAGGGTTTAAGAGGAATTTGGGGTACAAGGCTAGGGGTGTAGGATCTTGGGGGTTGGACCGGGGTTGGATGGTTTGGGTTTGGGGCTTTTGGTTGGTTGGTTTCGCTTGTTACGGCTTCGTTGCAGGGTTTCCTGCTTGGGGGGTGGTTACCTTCTTCTCCTGTAAGCTGCAGCCAGGGATGTGCTCCAACACATCCGGTTCATAAGCCCACCCCGGACCCGCCCAAGGCACCCCAAATAGAGCCCCTAGCACCAGCCAGCGACAAGCTTTTGGGACTGAAGACTGTCGGTTAAAAACCTTTACGGCTTATGCCGGCTCTGCAAGGAAGCACACTCTAAAGCATTCTTGAACTAAGTTTCCCAGGTTCCTATTGTTATCTGTATCACTGGGACAACCAGAGCCGCTGCAAGCGGATGAGGCTTGTTGTTGCAAGGATCTGCGCTTTCAGCAGCTCTTCCACAGTCTGAAACGATCACGAAAAAGTTTTCTGTTACTGCTTCCCCTTTGGATATACAACCTCGAACTGACCTCACAACTCTGTTCACTCCCGCCGCACTGAACGGCAACACACTCATGCAAGACACATAGCTCCCTAAACCCCAAACCCCTAACCTTGTGTCGTCGTCGTACACCGAGGATGACTGCTCAGCGCTGTTGGCCGGTCTTGGCCCGAGCAGCCTGAAACTCTGAGCCTAAAGCAGCCATCAAACCCACAGCAACCCTAAACTCAACAGGGTTTAGGGCTTAGTAAACCTGAGGCAGGAAAAGTTAAAGCAACTCCGAGTGCCACACTCCAGCCGACACTCTGACAGCTTTAAAGGCATCTTAAAGCTCTGAAGCCGCATTCGCCCTTTTTGCTGTCGGGGTCCTTCTGAACTTCTTCATGATTTTTTTGACAAAAACGGACCCAAAGTCCTACAATAGAGAGTACTTGGGCCGGTAGAGTTGGGCAACACTTGGCAGCTGAGAGGCATCCATAAGGCCCTTGCCGGTCTCCCTATCGAAAGCCTCATTGGGACAGAAGAGCGTCCAGTCCGCGTTGTCCTTGCGCTAGCGGGCTTGTACAAGGCTTCTCCTCAGAATTAGTAAACCCCCTTGTAGTCTCCATGTAATCAATGTCTGCGAAATCAAAGGGGAAGGAAGGTACTTAAACCCGG